GGCAGGATCCCAGCCCGCGTGAGCCAAATACGTTCGCTGTGAAGGCGTTCGTTGTGAAGAACGCTTCGGAATTCTGCTCGGGCTGTCTTTGCTTCGAGAGCATTTCCAGATGGGCTGTGGTTTTGCAAGGGTGGATGAAGTCAAAGATGGGGAGCTTAAGGTGGTGCAAAGAAGTCTTCCTTTTGGCTTTGCACGTAAATTGATAACCCCCGCATAATCAAAAGTGGAAAAACGTGGTCTCTTAAATCCAGCTGTAAGGTGACAAAATTCTAATTGCAATAAACACAGTCCCCTCGACATACGTGGTTAGTAATGTGCCTCTGTCGTTTCTCATTTCTTCTAGGTCCATCGTCTAAGGTCAGTGGATAATTTATTTGTTGTTGTTCAGGAGTTCAAAGACTATCAATTCAAAGAAAACAAGGTGAGTTACTCCTCATTTTTCAATCAGCTCTGGGTTTTGGAGTGTTTTTTTTAATTTAGGACTAGTTTCAGAAAGTATTCTGTTTCACGAACAAGTTTGTTTTTTTTTTTACTTGTGGTATTATCCCAGTTCGTCTTCGCTGGCTTGTAAAATGGAAGTGCAGTCATGCTGTCTAACAACACTTCTTCATGGGCAAAATCTAGGATGAGAGCCGATACCATGCTTGTAGGTCATACTTAGACAGTAAAGTATCACTTTGGTCACTTAATTTAGTGTTAGCTCTTTGTTTGACAAGATAAATGACGAAGTACTGTGGGTCCTGTGACTTCAAGTGCAATTGAGTTTAGTTATGGCAAAAATCGCACAAAAAACTGTAAGCTTTGCTTAAATGTGTAGTGGGTTACATGTTAAGGAAACTAATTTCAGACTTTAAACTTTTAACTTTAAAAAAGGATAGCTTTTAAAGGGATGGTATGATTTCAAAGCACAACTTTTTTTTGTCTTTTAAAGGAAGATGCTCTAAAGGATTTGGAAGATTTGGTTAAAAAACTGCCTTGGACCGATCCGTTGAAAGTTTGGGAGCTGAACAACAGCTTAAAAAAGAAAAAGACAAAACGCAAAAAACATAATCTGCAGAGTACTGCAAGCAAAGAGAAGTTGAATGACAATGGAGAAGAGGAAGGAACAGATCAAAAAGATGCTAGTGAACAGGAGGACTGTGCCCAAAACGCTGCAGGTGTAGAACCCGCTAGCGACCAGGATACAGAAAAGACACAAGGAGTGGCATCCCGAAACGGGGAGGAGGAGGAGGAGGAGGATAATGAACAATCAGATGCAAAAGACGAATTGCAGGCGGGTTCTGGGTGTGAGACCAAGGCTGGTGATGGTAAGACAAGCGACGGAGAGGTGAAGGTGTTGAAGTTCCGTGTTACGTGCAACAGAGCGGGAGACAAGCACAGTTTCACCTCAAACGAGGCTGCAAGATACTTTGGTGGAGCTGTGCAGGAGCACTTCCAGTGGAAAGCTGACATGACTAACTTTGATGTAGAGGTATAGTGTTGTGCCTTGGAAATACCTCCCTTTCTATTGTAAAAATTCTTAGTTCTTAATTCTGATGCTTAGAGATCTCCAAAATGCCTTCAAAAGATGACTGGAATGAAAAACTGGTAATGCTGAAATCACGGCCTCCTCAGAAGCATTCACTTCATTGGCACATTATGTGCGTCCTCAGATCCCACCACTGGCTAGTGCTTTGGCTGTCCATAATAATAGTCTCTTTTGTGGCCCAGTGTGGGCACCTCTCCTCTTCCTCAGGTCCCTCTTTTGCTCTGCAAACACTGTTGTCTTCTTCTCAGGGTAACTAATTAACATCATACACCCGGTGCAGCTGAGCTGGTGCTCAAAAGCTTTCCGCTCTCCCTCAACCACAGCAAAAGCTCTGGTACCGAGTATTACCTTATCCTATAGTGTTTGGTCTCATTTATGTTTAAATATAATGTAAGCGCCTTCTGCTTTACTTTTACCCTCATTACATCTTTCCTTAATCCATTGTTTTATATCGGTGTAAGTTAACAGAAGATATTCCATCTAGAAGCTGTAGTTTTATGGGTGAAGGGGACAAAAAGGGTTAACATTAACTGTCCAGTGTTTATTTCTTATCATAGGGAAAGCAGAGATTTGGAAAGGACGACCAACAGATGCGGTCCATCGGTGGTGCGGGACCACCGTTTTTGAGGGGCGGAAAAACTAAGTTTTTCTTGCAAGTCTATTAAGGGCTGGCCCGCTGTTCTATAACAGTATTTTCACCTTCCAAATTAATATGGTGGAGGGCACTATGATTTTTATTGCTGCTTTGCAAGTGCTTCATTGTGACTTGCAGGACTTGCCTGACTTCTCCTCCATACTTATAAAACAAAACTTTTTAAAAGTCAGCATAATGGTTATAGCACTTTTTGAAGTCTTGTGTAAAAGATTCTGTGTGAATAAGAAAATGCTTGTTCTCTGTGAACGAGAAAATGTGTGAATGCTTTCCTGAATTTTGTCCATGGCTGCCATTAAAATGGTGCATTGCTTTTCTTCCAAGAATGCTCTTTTATACATAGTTTCTGTTTTTTAAATTACCATCTAAGATTCTCATAAATATTTACCAGGCGTACTATAGAAAACTTCTGTAACTCCTGAAATTTAGTTCAAGTTTTTTCTTTAGGTTCTTCTGAATATTCACAATAATGAAGTAGTTGTGGGTATTGCATTAACTGAAGAGAGTCTTCACAGAAGAAATATTACACATTTTGGACCCACAACTCTTCGTTCAACTCTTGCTTATGGCATGCTTAGGTCAGTGCGATTGCATAGTATTATATTATTCTCAGTCAAAAAGTCATTTTGTTTCAGAAATTAGATCCTTTATCCCCCCACTGCTTCCTCAAAAGCCATTTCTGTTAATTCTTTAGAAAAGGGAGAAAAAAACCAAGAAAAAAAGGGGGAAAAAAAAAGCATTGTTGCTGAAACAGTGTGCTTTGTAATTAACAGTGGATGTTTTCCAGCTAAATAAAGTAAACATTTGCTGTGTTAACCAATTTTCAAAATACTGTATCACGTACTCTTGAAAGTATTTCACTGTATTGCTGCTTATAAAATGCTAATTAACGAATGGAAAAAATAATCACATAGAAGTTTTTTTGTTAAAAGGGTAGAATCAGAGTGATTAAAATAGTTCATTTTTCCTTCCTTAAAGAAATTCACGTTTTTAAGACTTTTCTAACCATATCTTTTTGTCTGTTCCTCAGACTCTGTGATCCACAGCCAACGGATATCATAGTTGATCCCATGTGTGGTACAGGAGCAATACCAATAGAGGTGATTCTTCCTTCATTTTTTAACTTAATAAAACTTGACAGTATCTGCAACTGAATAATATGTGTAAGTTTTCTTGGTAATAACTGAATAGCGAACTCCAAAACTATCTCACCAACTTCTAAACAGATACAAATACGCTTTTTGTAAATGACCTCATTTTCCTTCCCAAAACTGTAGCAGGAAGAAACTAAATCCAAAAGTGTTTTGAGCTTTTAAGGTGCATAATACCTATAACAGATATCTGCTACAGAATTTTAAAATTGCTGACATCCTTTTCCAGTTGCTTTGTTGTATTCTGTCATATTTGAATAATCTTTCTGTTTGTTTTGTTTTACATTAAGCAATGTTGATGCTAATGTTGCTTATTATCAATATTTTCCCTCAGGGAGCTACAGAGTGGCCTAGCTGCTACCATATTGCTGGTGATAACAACCCACAAGCTGTAAAGAGAGCAGCAAACAACATATGTTCTTTACTAAAGAAAAATGAGAATAAGGAAAGGTGAGAAGAGTACAAGTGATTTTCTTTTCCTGTAGTACTGTATGTAAAGAAATACAGTTTACATTGGTGCATTTGACTGTCTTGTTCATATTTTCCTATTTATTCTTTTGCTAACATGATAGACCTCCTCAATTTAAAAATATTCTCAGTAAACCACGTCTGAGATAAACGTCTTTGCACTTGCAGCAGTACTTCCCTGGGCATACCCTTAGACATCATTCAGTGGGATATTTGCAATCTCCCTTTGCGGACTGGTTCTGTGGACATTATTGTGACAGACATGCCATTTGGAAAGAGGTGAGGTATCACCGGTAAAGTTACTGCGCTGAACTGCTGCTACCGCATGTGCTTGCTTGTCCAGGATTAGGGTTCTCTCTAGTTAGTTACTTAACTGGGCCTGATTAAGAAGTATTGATGTACTCTATATTAAAAATGCAGGTTGAAATTAATAGTAGATGTCGTCCTGAATGAGCTAATCCATGTCTGAAAGACCAACAACAGTTAACTATTTTTCGGTGATCACAAAGGGGATCTTAATTTATTTTGCAGGATAGGGTCAAAGAAGAAGAACTGGGATCTCTATCCAGCCTGCCTCATGGAGATGGGCCGGATCTGCACACCAGGGACAGGCAGGGCTGTGCTGCTTACGCAGGACAAGAAATGCTTTGCCAAGGTATGTTCTGTGAGAGAAGATCAAACTTATTTACACTTGAAAATGTATTGAGGAAAAAATTGTAAGCTGACTTCATTACAGAAGATGATCTGTTCTTAGAGCAATAATTAGTAACATTTAAATGCTGTTTTGGACCTGAAGAATCATTTGACGTTGCCATCAGATGTGATGTAGAATAATCAAAAATAATTTCTAAAGCAAATTTACCCTTATTATCTTATCTTGAAGCTGCCACCACTCTGGCTGTTTTTTTGGATTGTAGGCCTTGTCACGAATGGGACACATCTGGCGCAAAGGCCAGACTGTGTGGGTGAACGTAGGGGGACTTCATGCTGCAGTGTATCTTCTGAAACGCACCTGGGAAAGAGCAGAAGAAAAAAGATCATTCTGGTAACCTGCGTGGAAGAAGACAAGAGACACCTCCAGAATTCGTTGAATAGCAGTCTGGTAAAGCAGACACGTGAGAGCATAGGTCTGTCAATTCCTAAGAAAAAAAACCAAACAACCTATGTAGAAATTGTGTAACAGGAATATTAAACCAGGGATCAACTTGAGAGCTACCAATTGTACTATGTGTTCTGAAACCTTGTTTAAATCACCTCTTTCCTCCCTGCCACCCAAACTGAAATTCAGTAGTGGAATTAGTAATACTTTCCTTTGCCTGAGTCTTCTCTACTGTGTCCATTGTATTTTTCAGTTAAACGTTTATTTCCTCTGCTTATAGTAGAAAACATGTAGAGGCAGCTTTGGAGGTGACAGTTAATTTATTTCCCAAACTGTAGAAATCGTATATGTATCTTAAAATGACTAACAGGACTACTAAGACTGTCATCTCGAAGGGTTTAGAGGTAGTATCTCTTTAATGTAGGATTTTTCCAAATTGAAGTTTTCTAATTTATACCATTGCCCAAATGTAAACTAAGATAATAAACCAGTGTCTGTTTTTTATGGTCTGATAAGCAAATGCCAATTAGTAAACAATATGCTGATGTTACTGTTTTTCTTACCTGTTACCTCAGCTTAGTGCTAATTATTAGTAAATATCTAACCCATATTTTAATGTACCACAGCCATGGGTGAGGGGGGTAACACATACAGCCTTAGCAAACTGTCTGTAGTTACTACTTGAGAACAGAGATACTTTTAGCAATTATATTAAAAAGTTCGTGTTTTCAGTGTCTGCTGTAAACACATCAGGGTAGCAATATGTTTAAATTTATTAGGTGATTTAACTGCTGTAGTCCTGCCACAATATTTGCAAAAATATATTACCTGTTGAATAACTTGAAGTTGCAAATATTTTTCTTCTGTAAATGTACCGTGATTTCTCAAGCCTCTTACTCTTTGCTCGTCAGAGGCTGAAAACACTAGTTGCCAGTTTGCCATTTTCATTAAAGTGTATTCATGCTAAGTATGTGTAAGTGTTTAGAGTTTTAGAAGTGTATTAAAGTTTTAGAAGTTTTGCATAGGAGATAAGTCTTAATTGCATTCTTTTTCTGGTCCATGTCCAGTAAAGCATAATGCAGCCCTTTATTTACTACACAGTTGTCTTTCTGGATAAAATAGTGCCAACAGCATCCATTTAATTCTTTCCCACACTGTGTGGTTTATATGACAGTGTGAAAATGATGCACACAGTTGTTGCATGAGGTGGCTATCTAAACAATCCTGCTCTAGTGAACTCTACAATTTAACCTGGATATATTATATTCTTAAAATGCATTAGCACCCTGGTGGTTTGTTACTGTTGATATTTTTATTATAAGGAAAGCCAAGGACAGTAACATTTTAAGACCTTGTAGTATGCATTTTGAAGTGGGTTTTCTTCTTGAGTTAAAGATCAGAATGAGATTAGTAAAATGCAAGTCATCCCTTTTGGCCTGAAAGGTAATAGGATCATGTTTTGTTTTTTAAACCACAGGTAACATTAAATAGATACAAATCAGATTGACATGACTTAGCAAACTAGGCTTTAACTAACATCAGGAGATGGGAACTAAGATTATTGGTTAAGAGAATTTATATTTGATTTTCAATACTCGTCACACTAAAATGTACGGCCTCACGTAATTGTGTCGTATTTCATAAGAAACCCTAAGTTTGAAATCATTAAAGAATGCAGGAAGGGGAAGATGTTCAGTGGTACATGTGTGTCTCTGCTCTCTTACAAATAAATCTGTGCTCTGAGTTGTACAATTTAAAGCAGTTACTCTTAAAGATTGCACTTCTATTTTTATGGAAGATTGGTACCAGACACTGAGGAGTAACAGTTTTTTCAATTAAGACAATCAGCCTCATTGTTTATATATGCTGCGTAATCCCACCATGCTGCACACAGTTTCTTGCAGTATCAGTAAGTATCTGAAATACGTTCTCCTTCCATGATGTGAATTTACTGTTTCATAGAAGGAAAGCGGGGGAAATGACTTCTTTTGAACAAGGGCCAGGAAGCAAGCCTCCCTGACAGTTCTTACACCTTCAGCTGTACTGGAAAAAAATGTAACTGACAGAGGACGGCTTCTCTTGTGTCGTTCTCTACCAGTTTCCATACTTCTCCCTCACAGGCTGCTGGAGGGACAGTACAGAAATTACGAAAGGACCCCTCATCGAAGGCTTACTGGAGAACGTTAAGTATTCTAAAAGAAAAAGCTGGTAAGAGGTGTTGAGATGTACAAGGAAAAGACACTGTCTCGATACTTTCAGCACTGTAACCTGCAGTGACTGGAGAAAAATGTGCTGAACTGCCTTCACGCGTGAAATACTGTTCTGCGGGGTATCTCTTGTCACTTGAAAAAGCGAAACCTCATCAGAGCAAGCGCGACCGCGGCCTCCCGCGCGGTGACCGCACGGCCCGCTGACGCCGCTCCGG